GGATGTATGGATGGGCCCAGTCTATCGCAGGGCAACACAGAGACAAACAGGACAAACAACCATTCACACCTTAAGATAATTTAGAAAAGCTAATTAACCAGTCATGTTTTTGGACTATGGGAGGGAGCTAGAATACCCAGAGAGAACCCACGCATGCAAAGGGAGACCATGCAAACTCCATGCAGAAAGACCCTGGAGTGAGAATCGAACCCAGAACCTTCTTCTTGCAAGGCAGCAGTGCTAGCCACTGTTACACTGTGCAGCCTTTCGAAGCACTTCATGATGATGGAAGTCAGAACGACAGACCAGTAGTCACTGATTGAGAGGACCTGAGGTTTCTTTGGGACCCCAATGATGGTGGAAGACTTAAAGCATGCTGGAACTATGGATTGGTCCAACAAGGTGTTGTAAATGTCTGTGAGGACACCAGCCAGCTGACCTACACACTCCTTGTACACCCGCCCAGGTATGTTATCGGGGCTGGGTCCCTTCCTTGGGTTGACTCTCCTCAGAGTTTTCCTCACTTCAGCTATGTCCAGGTTGAGCGCCTCCTCTCACTGGCATGGAACAGCTTTCACTGCTGGAGTGATGCTTATTGCCTCAAACCTTCCGAAGAAGTTGTTTATTTCATTTAAAAAGGCAGTGTTTTCTGCATCTACAGAGGTTGTGTTATAGTCTGTGATCGCCCGTATGCCTTGCCACATCCTCCTGGTGTTGCTGGTGTCGTGGAAAAGATCCTAGATCTTCTGGCTGTGGTTCTGCTTCGCTGATGTGATTGCACAGCTCAAGCTGGCACGCACTGTCCTCAGTGTCCTCTTTATCACCAGACTTGAAAGCTGAGTTCAGTGCCTTTAGCAATTTTCAAACCTCCCCGTTCATCCAGTGTCGTTGGTTGGCCCAAGCGGTGATGTTTTTTTTGATGCTGATGTCCTCAATGCATTTGTTGATGTAGGTTGACACAGTCATAGCATACTCATCTATATTTAATATGTTGTCATAGGTTGCTGCAGCCTTGAAGATGATTCAAAACAGTCTTGAAGTTTCTCCATGGCACCCTCGGACCATACTAGAACCTATTTAGCTGTCCATTTAGCTCTGAGCAGCAGGGATTAGCATGACATATAGGTGATCTGATGAACTGAGGTGTGGGCGGGGAGGTGCTCTGAATGCATCTATGATATGAGAGTAAACCATATGTTGGTAAAAATTAGGGAGCACAGTTTTCAAGTAAGCCTGGTTAGAATCCCCAGCAATGATGAAAACACCCTCTGTGTATGCAGATTGGAGCTCAGAGATAGCCTGGTATATAGAGTTTTCATGGCCTCTTTTGTGTTAGCGCTGAGGGTACTGTGCATTTTTACACAGGCTGTTGTTGATGTAAACACACAGACCGCCAACCCTGAGTCTTACCATTGAGTTCTTTGTTCATATCGGAGCGGTATAGTGTTAGGGCCTCCAGGCTAATAGTATTGTCCGGTATTGTTGGATGCTGCAAAGATTCAGCCAGAATGATGACGCAGCAGTTACATATCTCCTTTTTTGAAGAGAGTTCGATTAGGAGATTATCCATTTTATTATCCAACGAGCGGACGTTGGAGAGCAGGATTGATGGTAGCTGTGGTCTGTGGGGATTCTTCATTAGCTTCGCCGTTAGCCCCCTCTATGCAGCCTCGCTTCCTCCATCTGCACATCTTTTCTTTCGGCCTGGCCTGGTAATTGAGCCCGCTGTTGCTTTGTTTACATCCTTCCGTAGCACTCCTGCAGCTTTTTAAAGGTAAAGACAACTCTATCTGTTTCTTAATATGTGTAGTTGTGCCTTCTCATGTACTCGTGAAACTTTCTCAGCCTCAGACCCAGCACTGCTACAATTCAAAAGAACCCAAGACCGAAGATGGAGAAAGTCCACAGATGTTGAGCTCACTGCCTTCCTCTTTATCGAGCATGCATCCAAGCAGAGTTGTGCATTCTCAAGATTGACAGCTGTCCCAGCATGCACTGCGGCAGCAGCAGCTTCCAGTGGAGTGCTCAAAGCTCGGAGTTTTAAGTTAAAAGTTCCCTTTTCTGTTGACATTGTTCTATAAAGGTACATTTTAAGATCATTTGAGGTGATAACATTATACTTTTAGGCGTCACTATATGGCCCATTCACTTATTTAGTGTGTAATTTAAAAAAAAGTTCAGATGTTGAGAGGACCGTGGCAGCCAGGGGACCTCAGAGGCTAACATTAGTCTGTCTGCAGCAGCTCTCTCTTGGCATAGCCTAGTGTGAAGTACAGCTGGCACTGATTGTGTTTTTTTTATTTTTTTTTATTTGGCAAAACACTCATTTGATTTGTGTTTATTTGATTGTGTTCATCACTATCCCTCCCACCAGATAAAAGAAAATAAGAATTTATTTTTCTCTAGAGACAATTAATAGCAGGAGGTGAAATCCTGCTCCAGATGAGCCAAGTGTGTGGTATTCTGAAGGCTCCCATTCTTCCTGAGTCCCTGAGTACTATCTGTAGTATCGACTCGCTTGTTCCATACTGTGCTGGCACTAGACAGCCAAATGCCGATTGTCAGCAGGTCAACCCATGAAGAACCGGGATTAACCTTCTAATTTCAATAGCAAAAAGGCTTAAGATAAAACAGGAGCACATCAAGGTGATTTTGTGAACAGAGATCCCAAAGTTTAAATAAGAGTGAGTTATGGTTAGACCTTTAAAATAGGATCAGTCCACCACTTCCAAACCTGTCCATCTCTGGCTTCCTTCTAAAATAGGTCTCCCTTTAAGGCATTTGTCAAATATTTTACTGCTGTGAATTCTGGAGATGACTGGCCATACTCTGCACCAACATAGACCTTACCAAGTGTTACTGTATCTCATCTTGAATGCTGCCAGATCATATTATATGATAACTGTAACCTTATTTTTTTTTTACATTATGGTTTGTAAAGGACAACCTGGAGCTTGCCTTTTTATTTAAATATTATACCAAAACAGAGGCATACTTTTTGTATGAAATATACATATTATCATATAAGCTTGCCCACTGCTATTTTATCTGTTGGTTGTTAAAGGTGGCCCCATCAGCTCCTCTAAACAGCTGCTGCAATAACTGTTGAAACATTTCCAAGGAAAGCTTTTGCTGGGGACTCTCTCTAGAAAATTGGGACGTCAGGTCACCCCATGTGAAGCCTGATTTGGCCGTTGTGAAACAGATGAAGTCAGGATGCACTCCTCACTTGAGTAAAACTGAAACAATACATAACAAAAACAGCAGTGAGATTATTCTTCAACTGTTGAGAGGAACTGTTTGTTTGGAGATTTGCAGAATCAGGTTGTGATGATCAAACATTAACAAGGATGAAAGTTTCTGCTCTCCTCCTGGGACCTAGATGGGTATAGTGCTGGGCAACGTTGGTGATCTTCTTCAAAATGGTTTCATTTAGGTCCCCGGGAGGTGGACGGGCAGGTAAGTGGTATCCACCAAGCTCAGGGAGCAGCAGGAAGAATCTCAAGAGAATCTTTTGAGCAAAGGGGGTTAGTCTATTTCTGCGTGGACAGGTAAGTAATCCAGTTGTCTCTAAAACCTCGGGATCTGAAACAAAAAGGGAAAACACTAACGAGGCGAGACATAACTCTGGGCTGTATAACAGGGAGCAAAGACCCTGATTATGTATTTGGGTACTAAAAGAATCCATGACTGCAGAATAGAAAGACAGTGAGTCAGCACCCTCAAGAGACACAAAACCACACCATTGTTCTGCACACAGCACAACAGGTTATGACAGTCACAACTTCCCTCTTCCCACCAACTAATTTAAATTGGTCATTTTGAGTTCATGATAAAAGGTTTGGACATCCCCAGACGAGCCAGTCTAAGTCTTTAATTCCCCCGCCCTCTGGATGCTGGCTCTTACCCAATGTGATGCAGAAAAAAACTGCCAGGTATATGTCACTGTCCATGGTTTCTTCCACCATGACAAAGGACTATGTTTTTTTGTGCAATGTTTCTTTAAGTCTGTTTTTTAAATAACTTTTTCCAGGTTTTGGGATAGTTTAAACCGTCATGTTTTCTTTGGAAGAAAGTGAGTTTGTTTATAGGAGACGGCATACAGAAAACACAGAAAAATATTGATGCTTGTGGAAATCATGCAATGTTAAAACAAACTACTGAAGCTGTTAAAAGGAGTGTGAACCATTTTTAGGGTCACTGTGTTTGAGTTAGCTCTTGTTCAAAAATGTGGGAGCATAATAATTGTGATATCTGCAAAAAAGCCTTTGTTTTTAAATCTGAAAAATTGTAATAGGAAGTTGTTTTGGAAATCTAAGGAGAGGTCCTTACTGCTTCCCAACTGCTTCCTCTTTAAAATTGTGTGCACACTTCTAAAACATTTTTTAAATGTAAATCAGGGAAAAGTTCATTTTAACTTAGTAGCATTAATTGCACTGTAAAATGTACTAGTCACCTCACACTCACAATAACTCACACCCACAGTCTAAGCACGTACATAATATAACCAGATATTCTCCTCTCCAACCTTAATGGAAACAGGGTCGCTGACAGTGGCCGACTTTATGGGAGGGGTGTGTGTGTGTGTGTGTGTGTGTGTGTGTGGGGGGGGGGGGGGGGTGGAGTATCTGGAGGGAGGGAGGGGTGTGTGTGTGTGTGTGTGTGTGTGTGTGGGGGGGGGGGGGGGGTTGAGATCACATTTACCTTGATGATGTGAAACTAAAGATAGCTAGTGAGATGACAGGATGACAAACCCCAAACAAAAACTCTCATGCAAGAAAACCGATTGAAGAGAGAGCTCATGCAATCCACAGAAGCCACTTTGAGAGTATAAGATAAATATATACACAGGAAATGCCTCCCACTCCTACCACCATGCTCTGTCTGTCTGTCTCTCTCCCCTCTCTCTCTCTCTCTCTCTCTCTCTCTCTCTCTCTCCCTCCGTCCCTGGTTCTCACAGTGTTACTCATGGCAGTGTGTTGCTGAGCAGGAGCCAGTTGTGTTTTTCCCCTCGCCACGCTCACTCACTCTCATCCTCTGCTCTGACTCTCATGCTCACTGAGGCACCAAGGACAGAATAGACCTTTTTTTTCTCCTTCCCTTCTTCCAATATTGTATCTGACAGGATCTCTTATTTTTTCTTTTAGACATATATCCCCTTACTCTCTCTGCCGGTTTCTTGGGTGTTAGAGGGGTATCAACGTTGTGTGTGGGTGTGTGAGTGTGTGTGTATGCGTGTGTGCTTGGGGGTTACAGCATGGAAGCAGTGGCACTGTATACATTTCGTGCCACGGAGAGTGATGAACTCAGTTTCAACAAGGGAGACATGCTCAGGGTAAGAAAATAATTTTATCTATCTATCTATCTATCTATCTATCTATCTATCTATCTATCTATCTATCTATCTATCTATCTATCTATCTATCTANTCTATCTATCTATCTATCTATCTATCTATCTATCTATCTATCTATCTATCTATCTATCTATCTATCTATTCAAACTTTTTGAAGTGTTATAAAGTTCTATGTCTTCATGTTGGATTACAGCTTAAAAAAATCAATGTAATCTAAAGAGCTTAAAGAGTACGTTTTGGTTCATTAAAAAAAATAAACCCTCACTGCAATTGGAATTTGACTTAACCATTATGGTCCTGTCTTCCGTTTGTCATTTCTGGTATCACTGTATTGTAACTGTGTTATAATCTGATACGTTCTACTAGTGCTACTTTTACACCTATGACCAAATATTGGTCTGCAATCATTCAGAGTTACCTTGCTCCATTCTGTTTTTGGGGCAGTAAAACATATGTAATATATCTGGTATAGAATTGATAAAACTGCAAACACTGAATGAAACAACTACAAGTTCTTGTTCTGTATGTGAAGTCAGTTCTTGATGAATGTGTCTGTGTTCTAACTGTCCTCTCGATGTCAAACTTTGCTTTATTGCTACCTTACTTCAGTGTTGTTATTATAGTGCCTCACATATACATTCAATGTAAGTTCTATTTTTTTAGCACAAAACTACTTCTGTTGAATATGACTAGTTCATGTTTTTAGTACCACTTGAAGTGGAATGGATTTTTTTTTTCATTATACTTTCTTGCCATTTTCCTGTAGATAATTCTAAGCCGTGATAGGCCTACTTAATGTTTGCATTTGCCTCTTTTTTTTTGTTCTATGAGATCATAGGATGTGGTTTACCTTACAGCAATGAAACTTTATATTCATACACTGGAACTGAGGCCTCCTATTGAACCACGTAGAAAATATGGCTACAGGACTGAAATAAAAATAATCTACTAGGAGGTTTCACAGAATATCTTTGGTTTAGTTCAATTCTCTCATACTTAAGAGTCACCTGCCGCCAATGGGAACAAAACCCAAATACATGTGGAACGATCCCGATATAAAATGATCAATTACAAATGTACCATTTAATTAAATTACCCCTCAAATTAAACCTTTGTAAAGCCATAAATAACAGCGCCATTATGTGAATAAATTGGTGTGAATGTTTGTTCACTTATTAAAATGAGTTTAGGAAACCATTGAAAAGCAAAGAGTTGGTTAGCAAATGTTGACCTGCAACAATAAGCCACTAAACTGAGGTGAGATGTCATTAGCTGATCTGCCCTCCAACATCCGATGTGGCATTTATAGAAGATATATTGCTTGATCTAGCAGCTAGTTAACTTAGTGAGAAGATTAGTGAAAAGAGAACACTATTGCAAAACATGCACTTTAGATGATTAAATGGAGTTCTTAGAGCAAAAAAGAAATACAGTAATAGCATAAAGTTGTCTTAAGCCTTTTTAGCTTCTGCGATTTACAAAATGTTGCTACAATTTGACCAACCATTAGGTTAGATTTATGATTTCGATAGATTACGGTTCAAGCAGTTAGAATCAACCATCAAATAAAATACTGTGGTTTCCTTGCATTTCTGCTGTTGAGGTAAACCAAGCACCAGCTGCCTTTAACTCGTACAACACAGGAAAGAGGGTACCAACAACCATCTCTGCCTTCAGCTCTTGATAGAAAGTTAATGTGTTTTGCAAAAATAACTCAACACGCAAAGTTTGCAAGGCAATCATAAAAAAGATTTTATGATTTTCTTTTAAGATGAGGTACATCAACTTGGCTATTCAAAAATGGAAACTGTTGAGGTGAAATTATTTTTTGACTATAGTGCAAGAGGTTCAGAAGTGTACAGTACAAATACTTTGTTACCTCTCTTAGGTAAAAATTATGGCTATCTATAGTTTACTGGAGTAATTATGTTTTACTTTTATTCCTTAATTTTATTTTTTTTAAATTATCTGTACTTTCTACTCCTTACATTTTAAAAATAGAATTGTTAGTTTTGTTTTTATTTAAGGCCTGTTGCTATTTAACAAAAAACAAAACACATCAAAATGATTGGTTTCATGCAGACAATTCATTTCTTTGTGGTTTGACTCGGTGCTGCACCAACTTGTTGTTCTACACATACAAAAATAAAGAGTTTTTCAAGATGATTCAAAGTTAAATTTGACACTGTTACCGTTAGTTATAAAACTAAGAAAATTAAGTATAAGGAAGTTATCATCCAGAACTGCAGAAAAATGTGCAGTAAAGCATCTGTCCTTTGCATTGTTTTCTGCATTAATTTTACTTTTATACCTTAAGTAGCTCAAAAAATTGTACTTTTAAACTTTTACTTCAGTAAAAAGCTTAAATTGATACTCTAACTTTCCTTTAATAGGGTAGTGCAGTAAAGCATCTGTCCTTCACATTGTTTACTGCATACTTTTACTTAAACTTTTATTTCAGTAAAAAGCTTAAATTGATACTCCAACTTCTACTAAAGTGTTTTTACACAGTAGTGTTTATAATTCTACCTGAGTAATAAACATTAATACTTTTGACACCTATGAAGAGGTTGTACTGTAGCTGCAGCTGTTCAAGAGTCCCACACAGACAAATCAGTGGGGTTAGATCATACCCGGTGGCTTTAATTTAAGAAAAAAAGTAAAATAGAAAAATTGCTTAAATAGACTCATGGTTTTGCAATGCAAAAATGTTTGGCGATTTCATTTTTAAAAATCATACAATTTGTAGTGGGGACCTCCTCTGGCATTTAAATAACGATTCTTCTAATCTCTGTTGTCTGCAAAGTCACTCATGCTTTCAGTGAGGTGGCATTTATATCTGATGCACAAGTAATTACAGTTGGCTTTTTGGAGATCATATCCTTTATGGTAGCAGTGATAAATTACTAACTTGAATAGGATATTCACTTGAAGCACTGTTGGCTTTATGCCCTCTTTCTTCCTACTTGGCAACACAACCTTTATCAAATCATCACTTTAAATGGTGTTCATATTTCTTGTTTTGTGGTTAGAAACCTCATTATAATTGTGTCACTACCCTAAAAGATAAAATGATGAAATAATCATTTAAAAAATGCACTGAACTGTTTTCAGTTGTTGAATAGAAGCTGGTGTCTAAAGTGCCAGAGAGGCTTATTTTTCAAACTTAGTTCCCAGCAAGAACAGGAGCTTATTCTGCTGGGGTGCGCTGCTTTGTTCATGCCTTATTGTGCGGCAGCTGTTTGGAGCCGGATCTATCACAATGAGAAAAGTGGTGACTCATAAAGAACCGGTAAAAATAGTTTCACAGATAAATAAAAAAGTAGCAAGTCTGAATTTCTGTTTAAAGCCGAGAGACAATGTGGACAAGTTTGGACACACGGGACACAAAGGAGGAGTTCAGAGACACCTGTTTTCTTTGTTTTCCCAATGATAACACATTTACTAAAGAACAATACTCAACAAACTTCAACTGATCCTGCCGCATACTTCTATAGCAAGCTGATATACAGATGTCAGCAGGGTTATGTCTAAAATGTACTTATTCTTAAAGTTCTCAGTCTTAATGTGGTAAGAATGTTATTTATTTTCCAGAATCTGTAAGAAATGTTTGTCAAATAATCTTAATTGTAAAGTGTGAAGGCATCAAAAGTGATAAAATCTAATGGTTAAAACTATCATTTATAGTATATTTTATTAATGTAATAATTTCACAAGTGTGATTGTCTAAAATAATCATCTTACTACTTCAAATATGCCAGTAATGTGTTCAACTATTATACATTTCCATTTTGATTATTACAATTATGATTAAATTCTTAGGTATTTTCAACTATATTCACTTTAGTTTATCTACAGTGTATCATTAAATCATTAAAATTGTTAAGAAAGGCTCTAAAAATGCTAACATCTGATTGGTAAGCTTTACCTTAAATAACTATATGAAAGACAAGATTAAATGAGATGGAATGATGGGATTTTTCAACAGGTAGCTTAGAAAGGATTTCTTTCCATCCTACTATATTCAGAAACACTTCTGTTTGGCTGAACGTTGAGCACCAGCTCAATAATAGGGCAATCATTTAGCTCTGTGAGTGAATGATGATTGATGCCATGAGCAGTAAATCAATCTGTGGTCCGATCACATGCCCACATAAAACGTGCAGTGTAGCCATTACAGCCAGCCGATGCATGAAATGAAGTTTCTGAGGTTAGGGAGGAGGCGGGGAAAATTGTTTTTGGCAAACATCCCCCCAAAAAATACATGTTACTACCACATATAATACTCAAAGCCAGTATGTAAGAAACCTACTCTAAGGTTAGTATTTGTGCTGAAACCAGGCAGGCTGGGATTTAAAATACACAACCTACTGCCTTTGTTAGTTTTTAAATCAAAATGAACAAATGTAAAAAAAAAAAATAAAAAAAATAAAAAATAAAATAAAAAAAAACTTGTAATACTGCAGCAGCTATAACAATAAATAGCCTTCTTTTAGTTTTATGTAATTTGATTGACCTGATTCTTTATTTTAGGCTTTGTATGATCTCCCTAAAAGAACAAGTTCTAAGTTCCAATTAATTTAAACCGAATTAACTTATTTTCATAGTTCACATCTACATTTTTCCATTTTCCACATGCACTTGCTATCTCTCTCTCTCTACTTATCTTATTGTGAAGTTATGGGAAATAAAAAAACATAACTCTAAATGAAATTTTTGTATCACAAATCTATCAAATCTGAAGAAGATAAAACTCCATATTATGTCAGAAAAACGTCTATCTAATTCACACCTGTCTTTTTTCAGTTCATTAGTATAGTATGTAAAAAAGTGACAGAGCATCACTCTTCGTGCAATTCATGTACTGCAGGAATCAGAACCTGATTTATTCACGCAGTGACACACGCTTTGTCACAGCAGGAACGCATCACTTACTGATTTATGCTGTAGGCATGTCAGTGTATCAGAGGCACCTCCAGAACAGAAGCAGTTGGAGAATCATTCATTTGGAGCTGTACTCTGTGTGTCCAATAGGTATGTACATTTTGACACCATGAATGATTCACATTTTGCTGGGAATGTCTGGCAGAGGCCTGCGTGAGAAGGAGCTTTAACTCCCCCGCTCCAAGAGAGCTCTGAACACGTTCTGAAAGAGGTGGGGGACATTGAGTCTATAAGTGGACCATCTTCCGTGTCTCTATTCTTGAGCTAGTTGGAACTGTGGTCGAAAGGTTGACGGTCCATGTGGTGGCAACAAACCTCAAACATGCTGGCAGAAACTAGTGGTGAAGGAAGCTGGAAAGCTGAAGGAGGATTCCTATCGGGCTTTATTGGCCTGTGGGACTCCAGAAGCAGCTGATGTGTACCGGCAGTCAAAACGGCAGGTGTCTTGGCTGGTCACTGAGGCAAAAACTTGGGTGTGGGAAAAATTTGGAGAGGCCATGGAGAAAGACTTTCGTACGGCTTTGAAGCGATTCTGTTTCACTATCCCAGGAAAGGGAAGCAGTTCAAACACTTGTTATAGTGGGGATGGTGTGCTGCTGATCTCTACGTGAGACACCGTGTGTCGGTGGGCAGAATACTTCGAAGACCTCCTTACAAGACATCTTCCATTGAGAGAGCAGAGCCTGGGGACTCTAGGGCGGGTTCTCCCGTCTCTGGTGCTGAGGTCACCGAGGTGGATAAAAGGTTCCCCAGTAGCAAGGCCCCGGGGGTGGATGAAATTCACCCTGAGTACCTTAAGGCTCTGGAGGTTGAGAGGCTGTGTTGGTAAATGCAACTCTGCAACATTGCGTGGACAACGGGGGAAGTTTCCCTGGAATGGAAGCTAGGGTGTGGTGGTTCCCCTATTTACACCTCTCACTCTTAAGCCTCCCGGGTAAGGTTTATTCCGGGGTTTTGGAAAGGAGGGTCCGTTGTATTGTTGAATCTCGGATTCAGGAGGAGCGGTTTGGTTTTCGTCTTGGCCGTGGAACACTGGATCAAATCTACACTCTCAGCAGGATCCTGGAGGATGCATGGGAGTTTGCCCAACCAGTGTACATGTACAGTATTTTGTTGATCTGGAGAAGGCATTCGACCGTGTCCCTCGGGGGACACAGTCCCTTTCATAAGGGCTGTTAGGTATCTGTATGACCGCTGTCAAAGCCTGGTCTCACATTTTTAGTGAGAGTTGGACTCAGCCAAGACTGCCTTTTGTTACAGATTCTGATCATAACTTTTATGACAGAATCTGTAGGCACAGACAAGGTGTTGAGGGGAACCGTTTTAGTGGCTTTAGGATTGCATCTCTGCTATTCATGGATTATATGGTTTTATTGGCTTCATAAGAGTATGATCTACAGCTCTTACTGGCCGGGATGAGGATCATTACCTCCAAATCCGATACCAGTCCATTGTGATAAAGGGAGAGCTGAGCCAAAAGGCAAATTTCGTGATTTACAGGTCGATCTACGTTCCTACCCTCATCTATGGTCATGAGCTTTGAGTCATGAACGAAAGACCAAAACTAATTCACATCCTTCCATAGATCTTTTTTTTAGAACCTAAAGTATTTCTCTGTAGTGTGTCTGGACTCTCCCTTAGACATAAAATGAGGAGCTTAGTCATCAGGGGAGGACTCAGAGTAGTGTCACTGCCTCTCCACGTCAAGAGGAGCCAGTTGAGGTGTTCAGACGCCTCCCTGGTGAGGTGTTCTGGGCACGTCCTACTGGGATGAGAACCAGAGGGAGACCCAGGACACGGTTGAGGGACTGTTTCTTGGTTGGCCTGGGAATGCCTTGGGATTCATCCGGGGTAGCTGGCCCAAGTGGCTGGAGAGAGGGACGTCTACGTCCATTACGGCCTCTTTAACTGGTGCTTTTTGGATCAAACTGTTGATTAAGACATTTCCACAAATTGCAAGTATTAAACAGTATTTAACTAGTAAATCATATAGACAAATATTATTGTAATCCTGTCATCTTCATCACAAAGCTTTTGTGGAGGATTTTATAAGAGAGGTTATGTCAAAAGATCCTAAGTCTGACTTTGTGGGGTTAACGCTGTTGCCGTTTTAATTCAGGTTTTTATGAATGTGTAAACCATTGCCATATATGCAGTATATGTCTTTTAACAAATAAAGGATGGAGGCGCTATGCCATCAGTGGCCTTTCTCTGTGAATTACATAATGACAGAGCTCTAAAATGTTCTGATTTAACATTAATTTAAAGAAGTTTAAGCAAGTATATGATGATAATTTGGCTCCAAGAAAATGAATCGGCTGCAATAAGTTTTACTTCTGCCTAAACCCTTTTGGTCAGAGTATAATAAAAAAATAACATGCAGTACTGCATTGAGACATGTTCTTAAATTTGTTCTGCTGATCAAGATAAAACTGAAAAACTGAAGCTTAAGTAAACACAATTCAAATGTATCACATGTTCTATTTCAGAGCATTTTATTCATGAAGATAATAAGTAATGGATTTCTTCCTACATCCATTTTTAAGACAAGTCAAATGTGTCCTAGGTCCCTTCGCCCTTATCTTTAGCCTACAGGACCAATTGAAATGGATTTACATTAATAAATATGGCGTGAGAGTAAGTTATCTTTATTGGGATCTAGGTCCTCAAATATTTCTGTGCAATATGACAAACATTTAAAATATCTAAAAATAAGTCTATGTTTCGTATTCTGAAATTGGCGAATTATCAAAAGAAGTGCTGAATTAGCTGCTACAAAACCTTAGAAATTTAAGCCAGTTTAAATATTCTTGATAACAAAATTACAACCGAGTTGAAATGTATTTGAAGGCAGTGCATTACAGTAAACAGCTGATAGGCTTTGCTATGAGATGTACTTATTGGGTAGTAATTATTGCCTTTTCTCGTGCATTTATAACCTGTACCAACGTCATTACCTTTTCATGTGCTTAAATGTCTATTTGTGTGTTTGCCTTTAGATCACCAACATGGAAGATGATCCTAACTGGTACACCGCTGAGCTCCACAACAGGAAAGGCTTTGTGCCAAAAAATTACATCAACCTGAGGCCACATGCGTAAGCCCCCCACATATAAACAGACACAAGTGCTGACACACATCTTCAACTGTTTTGCAAATCGGTTGACTGATTTCACACGTCCAGTGCTAGTCCATCTAAAAGCTCATCATCCAGTGGCTGCATGCAGCTCCAGGCGCTTTCTGCTCTGCTTTGGACATCTGCAGTCTGGCATAAGGCAGAATACCCAAGGGGACACTCTCACTTGATGCCTTACATAAGTCCACAATCCAGCCGTCTGTGTGTGTGTGTGTGTGTGTGTGTGCTTACTGTTAATCTGCTGGTTCCCTCCCCGTATTTCATCAGATGTTTGGACACCAGCTGAGTCCTACATTCACTGTGACAAAAACACCAATCTGACAACATAATGAGTAGATCAGCTGTGATTTATTAAAGAACACAGAAGCATGATCTAGTTGGAGTTATGTGTCTAAACCCTCACAAATCAATGAAATGTGTGTGGTAACAGATATATTCCAATATGTATAATGACAAAATATAAAAGGACAGAAACAAACAAAATACACTTTGTTTTAGCAATCTGGTTCATAAAAGCTGAAAATCTCTTTTAATACTTGCTTCCAAGCAAACTGCTGCTGTAAACTCCCCTGAGCAAATACTTAGATGCAAGCTGACACAATTGCTCATGTTATCCAGTAGACAACAATAATACACGGTTCAGTGATCTGTTTTAAGCACAAATTTAGCATCTTGTTTTAAAAATAACTTTAGAAACCTGCCGTATTTCTTCCCCACCTTGATTTGTTCTTTATTGTATCTGTCTGCATTGTTTTTTCCTGTGAAGTGTCTGAAGTTTAATGGTTAATAGATATCAAACATGTTATTTTTAAAGTTTGTGTGTTTTTTTTTTAACACACATTTCTATGTAGAACACATTGATAGGTTCAGTCGCCTAAAAAAAAACAAAGAGGATGAAAGCCTCTTAAAGTTCCAGTTGTCATGAAGCCTTTTGTGGTGCACTATAACTTTTCGTTTGCTGATATCTGTCTTTGCTTTTCCTATTTTTTTTCTCTCCCTATCCTCCAGCTGGTTTGCAGGGCGAATATCTCGTGGTGTGGCAGAGGGTCGACTGAGAAACAGGGAGTGCGGTGCCTTCCTCGTCAGGGAGAGTGAGAGTGCCCCTGGGGAATTTTCAATGTCTGTCAGGTAGGAGATATATGCTATTAAATTAGATGAAAGTATAGGATACCTATCATATGTTCTGATCGATCTATTTAAAAAAAAACAAAACATATATATTTATAAAATGGCTGATGATCATTTAATTTAAAGTGAAATTAATTAAGCAGGTGCTGCACAGTGATACAGCACTATTTTCTTGTCGCAAAAAGGATCTGGATTCGATTCCCAGACCTGGATCTTTCTGCATGGAGTTTGCGTGTTGTCCCTGTGCGTGTGTGGGTCCTCTCAGGGTACTCCGACTTCTTCCCACAGTCCAAATACATGGCTGTTAGGTTAATTGGCTTCTCTAAAATTGTCCTTAGGTGTGGTACGTGAATGGTTGTTTGTCCTGTTTGTCTCTATGTTGCCCAGCCATAGATTGGCGACCTGTCCAGGGTGTACCCCCTTCTTGCACATTGACAGCTGGAGATGGGTGCCAGCACCCTTCGCGACCCCAGCTGGGATAAGCATGACGGAAAATGGATGGATGGATTGATGAATTAAACAGATCAGTCTGCAGTTTTCCCTTGTTTTCTCTACTTTTGATAGTTTAGGGAAATATCTAGAGGAATAGGGTAAACCATGAGGTGTGAGGGAAGCTTAGCTTAGCCATTTTCCAGGACCTTGGTAGAATGGTCATTCAGGCAGACTTATACATGACGTTGTCGGATCTAAGTTATGAAAATATTATTTTTGGCAATTTAAGGTCTCTGACTTTGTTCAGCCTTCAAGGGTTGGTGTGATAAGTCAACCTTATGAAACTGGCGGCACCCAGACAGGAGAGGCAGCTTCACTCTGAATGCAAGTGTTTTGTTTTTTGGTTAGGAGAGACAATTATATTTTCTAATAAATAATTACCCATGTAGCTCTAAAGGCATAATTTCATCAAAAAAGTGCCAATAGGTGACTTTAAATGGTTAAAAAATTGGGATACTGCAGCTTTAAAACAACCCTCCATTGTGTCCGCAATCTTGACAGTTATGGTTTCAGAAAAGCGCTGGGTATAATGGGTAATTCTGATGGAAGTGTAATCTCCTTCCTCCTGCATTGGTATCGGTTTTAGACCAGAGTCTGAGCCTTTCCAGACTAATCCTGCTAGTCCTGGCGCTTTTACCAGCAAAAGCAAGATTCTTTGATTGGTTCATCGTTGGGATATAAGTAGCTAAGAGTATTATAGGTGGCTGTCTCAACAGGTCTCATCCTTAATTCCTCTGAGGACGTCTGTCTCAAAGAAGGACCCAGGTGAAAAGGGTGGAAATGTATGAGAAATAATTCTGTCAAGAGTGGTCAGGAATGGTTTCAAAGCCTTTTTTTGTGTGCTGTTGAATGATGTCTGACAGGCTGCAGATTCTGGCTTATGCAGCAGTTTGAAAAATGGGTCAGGCGCTGTTTGTGTGGTTTTTGGGTACTGACAGTGTTACTGTCAGGGGAGACATTTTGACAGCAGTAATCCAAAGAGATACTAGTCTCAAGTCGGCTTGGTTCAACTTAGATTAACCTCACTGTTTAAAAGTTGTATTTACTTATAATATTAGAAGAAAAAAATGTATTTGGTGAAATCTATTGGTAATGCAAATTGTTGCAAATCATCATTTAATGTGTGGCACAGACTTAGAAACAGATAGTTTCACTTTTAAAATAAAATTGATCTACTCTCTATGTATGACAATGCTTTAGATTTAACTATGGTTTTATACCTTTTAACTGATTCTTAACTAAGTTTTACCTGCATTGGTGCTGCAAATTTTCAAGTAAGAAAAGGGACCAGAAAAGTTTAGCAAACTATCAAGGGGTTAAACATCTGAAATTCTTGGGGAAATGTCTCGATTGTTGGCCTGGTGGCTCCAATTGATTACCAAACCTTGAACCTAAGAGGAACAGTTTAGTTTTTACTCTGGAATGGTGGACCAGATCATTGTGGATCAGAATTAGCCTACTGAGAGGATAATTGGAGTTTCATTGCCTGAACCTCATGTTTATAGGACCTGGGAATTACTATGTTCCTAGAGCATTGGGCTGTTCTTGGAGGTGCATGCCATTTCTTAGCTTTTCTGAACCCTGGTTCATGAAACTCAGGGTCGCGTTTTTGCCTTCTGGAGATTCTGGCATTATTTCCATCTCCAAATCATAATCTTTAGTGTGGATTGAATATAATTACAGATAATTGTGAAGCAAGTTTGTGCAGGATTAACTTCTTTAAACCTGAGGTCATGTTTCTCAAGGACAAACGATGGATCAGAGTAAGTCTCTTGGAAGGATGGAGACCCCGAAGGAGACCTTGACTGCATTATTGTCAGCAATAATTCCAGTCTATTGTGGTGAAGAAATGGCAGTTACTACTAAAGATCATGAGCCATGAATCATTACCAAAAGATTGACATGCCAGATTAAAGTGGTCTGATAGTGGTTTCATCTGTAGGGTGGCCATTGAATAAGCTATGGAACATCCTCATATGGATTCACGTCAGCAGAGAGCATCTGCTTCACTACATAGAAAACTATCAACTCAGGTGGATGAAGCTACTGATAAGAATACCTCCAGAATTTATCTGATAACATCACATTGGTGAAAGGCCATGGTGCAGACCCATCAGAAGCAATATTGTCTTAATACATCCGGTTTAGCTGAGAAAACATTGGGATCACCTACAGAGAGCGGTCAATACCTTTTGGAGAGGAATGTCTGTTTCCCCTCTGGACCTGCTCCTTCTCCGATACAACCTTTAATTACTGAAGCAAAATGGACAGATGGATTCTATAATACTGAAAGGTTTTTATATTTAGGTTAGGGCGACAGGGGCGTCAGATGCAGTAGTTTGCCCTGAAATCTAAGGATTGATGGTTCAAGCCCCGTTCCGACTTTCAGTGTCGTTTTGGCCTTGGGCAAGACACTTCACCTGCATTGTCTACTGATGGTGGTCAGAGGGCCCGGTGGCGCCAGTGTACAGCAGCCCCGCTTCTGTCAGTGAGCCCCAGGGCAGCTGTGGCTACAATGTAGCTTGCCACCATCAGTGTGTGAGTGTGTGTGTGAATGGGTGAATGAATGTAGTGTAAAGCGCTTTTTGGTCAAGTTACCTGACTTTAAAAAAGGCAATATATAAGTACATGCCATTTACGGTACCATTTATGTTGGATGATATTCAAAAGCCTCTTTATTAGAAACTGCAGAAACAAAAGCCATTACTTTCAAATTTATATCAAATGCGTGCAATTACAATTAGACACTTTTTTTTCGATGGACAAACAAGTGATAAGAGGAAGTATAGAATAAAGACATGGCCGTGCTGTTTTGATAACTGAGATTTGATGAATACAGACAGTATTTGGGGCCTTTTTTAAATTCTGTTTATTGTTAAAAGGCAGAATTCGTGTAAAAGGATTTTCTGTTGACCACGTAGCTTTCGAGAAATTATGCCAACCAGGACTTTCATAGATTTTCAATTTGTCCTCCCTGGATGGATTCCTAATTCTCTTTGACTAGACAGAAATGCATTCACACTTTGCTGGGACTTAAATATCTGTTCATTTGAACGAGTATTTTGTTCTATTTGCTTGAGATTTTGGAATTTCCTTCTAACATCTGCCCCTTGGCCTACTTGTAACTACGGTAATTGAAAGTATTTACCTTGTACATTCTCTAAAAAGAAATCACTGTAAATGTCCATTTGTCCCTCTATCTTTCCGCATGTCTCCTCACACGACTATTCATCCAGATATACACACATTGTTTATACTGTAAGCTAATAAACAGTTTCTCTGGAAATATCAGTTCCACATACCCGACCTTGCTATTTCCTGTTTTTAACTATTACTCCGTGAATTCCAACATTGCATAAATCCTTCCATGAACGCTGGATACACTTACACCCAGAAAAGTACAAACATTTTCCTGTAGCCTTTTTCCTGTAATAGTTTAAGGTCATGTGAAACAAAAAGTATTTCCTCTTAAAAATAGGTTCATGTAAAAATCTGTGCATGGCCAAAACTCAACACATGAGAGGAGGTAATCCGATAGTTGGCTTCCCACAAGATTATTGTTTTCAAAAACTGAGAAAACTATGTCCTCAGGTTAAATTTGATTATCAACCAAACGTCTGTTAGTTACATGTACAGTATTAGATAGATACATTAAGCTTTGTGATATATTAAAGCATTTTTTACAATTAATTTAGCTAATTGCAGCTTTTCTCTAATGAAAACCTAAAATGAAATTCTTCAAAAAAATTAGGGTCCTACATAAGATTAATCAAAAGAGTATTTTAATAAAGAAATGTTTTAGTATTTCTTACACAATCATAGGGAAGGTTGTTGACTTTACAGTTGTTCAGCTGACAGTCAGGGACATCCTAACTAAGGATACTAAAAGTTAAAAGGTCATGGCCAAAAACTACTGCCTGTTCAGAATGTGGCAAGCATAAAAAAAAGTTTAGTGGAAGGAAAAAGTGTGGTACACAAAGCAGCAGGAAAAACATCAGATTAGATAAAATTGTTACACAAAGTCCATTTAAAAGACAAACAAAAGATGCACAAAACCCAACAAGGGAAATGAGCTGAAGGTCAATACTGAAATAGCTTGAGATTTTTTTATGTATCAGTGTGGCCATATTATATTATACCTCCGGTTATTACCTCCAGTTATCCTCTGATTATTTCAATGTGGATCTCTAAATGTTGGGAGCATATAGAGGAGAAAAATATTTAAAAGATGGACTGTATAAAAAGAGATTTTTTTCATTTCTCTTTAAAAAACGCAATTAGAAGATGTACTTTTATATTACTGACCTCTATTTGCAAACGTTTCAAACTGTAAAAACTGAATTTGGTAGTTCGTTCATGTTGCTCGTTATCCATCATAATGAGGCCCTTATCAGAAACATTATTTCAGTGTTAGAGAAAGCTGACCCTCTGGGCTAAACCTACACTAAAGACACTCTGTAAGCTTCTCTGACTTTTGACTAACCCACACAAAGTTCAATACAGCAACT